GGGTGTTATTTGAGTGCTTTTGACTGTTCTGAGATGTCATCCACTTCATTGCATCAGAGTTGAGAAAATCTTGCAAAGGTCTGTTGGCTGACTAGGTCTACCGTAGTGTCTTCCCAGGCCCAGGAACATGGAGCAAAGCTTGGCCAGGAAAATGGTCTGAGCTGTTCTGCTTTCCATCCTTTGTTGCAATAGTCATCGTCCTCTGCTGCCCTAGATGACCTGTCGCATCCCCTAGTGCATCTGGGCATGCTTTCCAGTGCAGATACATCATCTACTGAGGAAGCCCAGTCCTAATACTTGCACTCTAAGATGTATGGTTTTCCCTGTGATGGGATCTCAGTCTAGTGGTCTAGTTGGGAAATCTCCCAAGAAAGCTCACCTGGAGAATTCTTAGATTTTACTCTTATGTGCACCAGCTACTGCAGGGGCAGGTTCCATCTGTCACATGCACCAGCCAAGGCACATAGCAGTGGTTGCAGGTGCCTGGTCAGTACATCTCAGTGCAATCTCTTATTATAACTGCAGTTTAATGCAGCCCACTTCTGGCCCGATTTTCACAGTCATAAGTGCTGCAGTTTAGCTCAGCCTGAACTATTCCCACATTCTGCCAGAAGGTATGCTGAGTGCTGCTGTATTTTCCAGGTTGGCCCATCCCCAGCCCTGGCTCTGATTATCACCACTGAGAATTGCAGCCCAGTAGGGAAATGCCCATATTTCTTCTACCAGGTGCAGTCCCAGACCCAGATCTTGTGCCTGCCAGGGGTACTGCGGTCTAACTTGACATGATCACACACAGTCCTAGCACTTGCTAGCAGGGACTTTGGGATAGACCAGCTGGCCCATACTCATTCTGGCTTATACACATGCCGGCAGGTGCAGCAGTGTACCCCAGACATCTCCCTCAATCCCAGGTCTCCTGCTCACGCATGAAAGCAGCAGCCAAGTAAGGAAATACATGAAGTTTTTTTTTTTTTTTTTTGACCAGGCTCACTCCCATGCCAGGTCTTGCAGGTGCCAATAGGTGTGTGGGCCATTCGGGGAAATGGCCTTCCTCCAGTCTAATTATTCACCAGCAAATATGACAGCCTGGCTCAACCCAGCCTCTTTACCAGCTCCAAGCTCCAACTCTCACCAGCAGGAACAGCAGCCTATGCCAGCCTGGTCCTTCCCCAGCGCTCATATGAATGAACTGTCAGATGTTGTGGTATAACGCAGCCTGGCCAGCACCCCATCCTGGCTCTTGGTCATGCCAATATGTGCTGTGGACTGGCCCAATCCAGCTTGCCCCTAGACCTAGCTGAAACATACACCAGCGGGTGCTGAAGCCTAAGCTAATCTGATCTGCCTCAGCACCAGATCTTGTGCTCACTGTTGGGAGCTGCAGCCTAGCAGGGGAGTTCCACAAGTTCCCTTACCAAGTCCCCTCCAACCCAGATCTGATTTGTGCCTGCTGGTGCTGCATCCCAGGGTGAGATGGCCTGTCCCCAGGCTTAGCACTCTGATGGTACTGCAACCAAACGCAACCGGCTTGTACCCTTCCTGGCTCTCTCACTAATGGGTGCTACAGACTAGCCCAGCCTGGACAACCCCCAAGCCTGGCTCTCATGTGAACTGGGTGCTGTGACCTAGCCTGACCATCCATACCCTTTCAGCTTTCATGAGTACCAGTAGGTGCTGGGGCCTAGCCTACTCTGGTCCTTTCGCAAACCAGGCCTACACATGTCATTGGGCGCTACAGCCTTGCCCAGCCTACTTTCCACCAGCTCTGGCTGTGTCACTCACTAGTGTGAGCTGCAGCCTAGCAGTGGGGTTCCCAGTTTCCCTCCCAGTCCTGTTCCCACACCCACATCTTAGGTGTGCTAGTTGGTGCTTCAACCCAGTCTGGCATTGCTCACCTACAGTCTCAGCTCTTGCCTAGTGGGTTTGCAGCCCAGCCCGGCCAGGCACAGCCCAACTCTGTCCTGAATCTTCCACGTACCAACAGGTTATGCAACTTAGAACATCCCAGTCCGTCCCCAGACCCGGCCACCCAGATGCTGATGAATGCCAAATCTGTGCCTGGCCTGGCCTGCCTCCAGCGCCAGCTTGTGTGCTCAGAAGCAGACTAAGTAAAACTTGAACTGTCACTCCAGTGTGGGTTGCCAGCGTGCAAATCACAGATTAAACCACTGTGCCACAACGCCAACCCCTGTGGAAGTGTTTCATTCATTGCTTTTTTAAAATCTATTTTTATTACTTTTGAGTTCCAAGATTTTGCTACATGCCATTTATTTCCAATATTAATCTCAACCTAATATTATTATTTTTGTCATAAGTACATTGGTTAACCAGTTAGTTAATGTGCATTAGATTCCATCTCTAAGATAGAAAAAGGCAATTTAATTCTTAGAATAATTTTTCCATTTTCTAATTTACCTTGAGTTTTTTTGACTCATTATTTAGAAATAGATTACTTCGAAATATTAGAGACTTGGGTTTGTTTTTCTTGATTTCTAATTTAATTCCATCTCGTCAGAAGAAAAAATAGTCTTACAATTTTGGTTGTATCTTGATTTATGCTCAGTTCATCTTTTGTGTTGGTGAATGTCCTGCAGAATGATCTAAAATATGAATGAGGTCACTACTATTCATGTTTATATTTAACATTCATTTCATCAGTGACTTTAAAAGGAGTGCTATTGGTCTAACATTATTTGTGAATAGCAAAGAAATGTGTTATGATTTTCTATCATTTTTCTTTTATTGATAAAATCATTATAAGCTTTTATTTGTTATTCGGTGCATTAAAAATTACAAGGTGAGTAGTTTATCATAATGTACATGGAGCTACATGTTGTATTGCTCATATATAGGGACTTTTACAGGGGGTAGTTCCATTTTTGACCCCAATGCATTGTACTGTTTATCCTTCAAATACATATGGAATCAGCATATGAATATTGCATACCATGTGCTATTTTTTCAGATCTTTCCTCTTTTGAAGAAGTTAATTAGAAAAAATATGTAGTCTTTCAAATTTGACCATAGACAAGGTGTTTTTTTTTAGTGGTTCTGATTCCTTACTTTGCGTACAAATAATGCTCCTGCATGATTTAATCCACCCTGGGGAGCTTCTTTTAGCATTCTGTAGTGGAGATCCATGTCATTAGTTACGTGTCAGGATTAATCGGACAACAAGAGGAAGCTTAAGGGAGAAATGATTCTAGTACTCTCCACTGCAACCATCACCGCACTTTCAGGATGATGCAATTTATTTGAGAATACAGACTTTTATACCCCAAAAGAACGCAGATGTCACACAAAGGCTTTCATTAATTCTTATCTTATGTGAAGTTAGCAGTTCTTAGGCTAATTATTCTTATGTTAGTAAAACTAAAAAAGGCAAGAGAGAAGACATTAACACAGCATCTTGGTATGCTTTGGTGTGTTATTTACACTCAAGGAAAGCATAAGATAGTACTGAGGCCAGGGATGCTGTCTCTGTCAGTTTTAACCAGAGGGAGGCACAGTGGAGAGGTAGCACTGTGGAGGAAGCGCTGCCACTTAGTGTTCCAAGCCAGAACACCTGGGCTTTGAACAGCGCCCTTGTCCACGGATGCACCCAGTTCCTTCAGTTATGTTAGCTTTTTTTTTTTCCCCAGAAAATCCTTTATTTATCTCAAGTAGACTACTTCCTATTAAATTTTACTTATCCCTTAAGCTTTGAAAATGCATTCTCTGTTACCCTATTCCAGTAATACTCTCTTCTTTTCCTCTGACTGGATGTCAGGTTTTGCTCTGATTCTGTGCTGCTCCATTTTCTGCCTGCTGCCTCCGCACCGAGTCTTGCATTCACTGTGATGGCCTCAGGCATCACTGGAATGGTGCCAGTCATTTGAGGTTTGGCACTTTCTGCTGAGTTATTTATCAGATAGCCATTGGCATTTGGACATCCACACATATTTGCCTACAGAAATGTCAAACAAAGTCAGTGTCTTTCCTGCCACATTCATTGTCTTTTATCCCATTTTCAGCATGCATTGCCAGTATTTACCCCATACCTCATGCACAGTGGCAAGGAAACAAACTCTGCATTTTCACTCTCTATACAAAAAATTATGGTGAATCCTTTGTTTGCTGTTCTTTTGTTTTGAATTACAGTGAGTTCTTCTGTCTCCTTACTTCCCTTTGTTCTGATAAGTTACAATGTCTCATTCTGTTTTTTCCCCTCTATGCAATTATTTCTTTGCCATCTGTCTCACAGTGAATTGAAAATGAAAACCTTTTAAGTTACTACAGCTGTATTTCATTGGTTTCCTGTTATCTATATTGTGTGTTTTAAGAAATGGGCATCTATTTGTATGTGAAAATAGCAATTATTTTTGTTGGGGAAGGAAATATAAATGTTTATGAAACTACTTATCAAATACTTTCCAGATACATTCACAAACAGAGTAAACATATAAAATTGTTATTGCTGTAATTGTTTAGGAATGGGAGTCAAACAAATCTTAATTATCAGCATTGAACGTGATTACTCATTTAGTTTGTAGCCCCCATTACCTGGCCTGTGGTTTTAAATGTTTTTATCACCTAATTTGTACTGTATTGTATTCATGAAAACATATTCAAGCAGATGTAAATATTCTCATTGTTTTAGTGAACTACAACCTGATAATATAGAAAAAATAATTCCATTTTGGTTTCATATTGAAAAAATGTATCTTGTGTTGTTTCTGCAGCATTTCCAGTCAGTCATATGCTTCTATCTAGATAACAGTGTGAACTCCTCAGGATCGTGAGGAGGAAGTTTACTTCTAAAATATGAAAACTCTTTTGCAGTAATGGTGAAGCTTTAAATTAACATAGAGCTCATATTTTATTATGATTTTGATTTCTGTCACGACGTAATTTATAAACTTACCTGGATCTTTTGGCATGTAAGATACTCACAAAAGGATGTACTTCAGTCTTTGTTTTGTAACAAAGATGATATGTTGAGCAGAAATGTGCTGTTACAGGTGTTGTCATTTGAAGACCTGGTTGTGGACTTCACCAGGGAGGAGTGGCAGATTCTGAACAATGATCAGAGGGCCCTGTACAGGGATGTGATGCTGGAGACGTACAGCAGCCTGGTATCTGTGGGTGAGTGGTTTTCCTCACACTTTCCAATCTGGAACATTTTCTTCTTACTTACAAACCAGTGAACAAGTCACGAGGTTTAATGCTGGGTGGGTTTGTAATTTGTGCACATAAAAAATCTGAGTATCTGTTCTGGTACGAGATTCAAATGGGCACATTTCATTGCTTAGCTCCTGCATCAAGTTCTTATCTGAAAAAAAAAAAAACTTAATTATTGATTTGATGATGTCGTGTTATTTCCCATGAACAGGGCACTGCATTCCCAAACCTGGCTTGATCTCCAAACTGGAACAAGGAGCAGATCCATGGATTTTGCAGGAATGCCTAAACCAGGGTCTCCCAGGTGAGTCGGCACACAGTGGCAGGGGGACTGGGAAGGAACGAGTGTGGCAGACACTGACTGGAGCTCTTCCCACTACCGCACTCCCACATCCCAGACCTGAGGCAGCTGCTCCCACAGGCAGGGCTCGTAGGTGCAGAACTACCAGCCTAGAGTAAACTCATGTGTCCACCAACCTGCTTCTTGTTCTGCTCTTGGTGATATTTTCATTGTTTCAAAAAGCATCCAGTCTTGGGTGCAGCTTTGTGATACAGTGTGTTAAATGTGTGTGTATGCTTCTGGCATGACATGTAGAACCCTTCATGTGCTGGCTGCTCTACTTCTTGTCCAGCTCCCTTCTGATGTACCTGAGAAAGAGAGGATGGTGGCATGACTACTCAGGGCTCCGTTCCCCATGTGAGGGATCCAGACAAAGCTCCTGCCTAAGGCTTGACTCAGTCAGCAGCTGTTGTGACCGTCTGCGTGGGGTGATGGATAGAAGCTCTGTCTCTGTAATTCTGCCTTTTGTATAAATAAGCAGGTTATTTTTTTTTTAAATAGAAATATTCAGTCCCTTTCTAGCTCTAGTAAGTCTTTTTCCTGGATTAGATACACTGCATAAAATCTCACTTGTTTTTCTCTCACACTTTATGTATTTACATAAAGGGAATAGATTTCATGTATCTCATATATACAGTTATAAGAATATAATGACACTAACTGTCCTTCATTCTTTTGCTTCCCTACTCCCATACTGCCATGACCTGCACAGCATGAACCAGACAGTGTACCACTAGATATAAAAAAAGAGACAAAGTATAGATTTGTAAACATGGGAGACCATAGGTTTCTTCTCTACACAAGGGATAGGAGCCCTATTCTACAAAAACAGTTTCAGTTTACTTAATCAGGGTGTCAGATTTTTCTCTGCAGATGTGGCAGTAGTCTAAGGTTATATCCCCATTGCCATTGCTAACTAGCTGCTGAGATGGCCCGAGAGCATCCTATACTGGAGGAAAAAGAACAGGATTCCTTACTGAGCACACAAGGTCCACCTGCAGGTGGGGTTCCACTGGCTGCTGCTTTGCATGCAAAAATCACTCAGTTCAGAACTGTCTCATTCCTTCTCAGATAATGTCTGCCCTAAACAGTCTTGAAGACTGTACTTCCTCCTCCTCCCTTGATTTTCTTTGGAATTTTGCATGGCAAATGTTGAGATAATAATCACACTGACTCCTACAATAATAGAAAAATTCAGTAAGTTGGAAGAACAACTGTTCTTTAGCTGTTTACACAAAGACTATGAGCAAGCAAACCTTGAAATGTCAATTATACTCATATGTATTATGTTTTCTGTGCTCAATATCTTAGCACAAATCAGAAAATAGAGTTTTCTAAGGGAAGGTATGTTAATTCTCTCTATATAGTGACCTCTAATTACACCTATTTTCTTGTGAAAAATAGGCTTTCATTTTCTTCTATGTCTGAGTAATGTCCCATAGTGTGTATGTATTGTATTTCCTTTATCCAGTCATCAGCTTGTGGCTATCTGTGTTGATGTTGTATCTTTAACTATTGCAAATTGATCTGCTATAAATATAGAGATGCAGATAATTCTCTTATAAGCTGATTTCATTTCCTTTGGGTAAATTCCCAGAAGTGGGATGACGGTCATACAGTAGCTCTGTTTTCAGATTTCTGAGAAATCTTCTGTGTTGTCTCCCATAATGGTTGTACTAGTTCCCATTCCCACTAACAGTGTGTTAGGGTGTCTTTCTATCCATATCTTGACTTTGTAATGCTAACCATTCTAACTGGGGTTGGGGAGGAAGTCTGATTGTCATTTTATTTGCATTTCCCTGATAGCTAGTGATCTGGAGAATTTTTCATAAGTGTGAAAACTGCCTGTTCATATCCTTTACCCATTACTTAATTGGATTTTTTGTGGCTGTTGTTAAGCTTTATGAGTTCCTTATATATTCTGTACAGTATTACTTTATCAGATGTATTTGGAAATATTTTCTCCTATTGGTTTTCTCTTCATTTTTTGTTTCCTTTACTGTGCAACAGCTTCTTTCTTGATATAATCCTATTTGTTTACTTTGTTTTGTTGCCTTTGCTTCGAGTGTCTTATCCAAGAAATGCTTTTGAATGACAATGTTTGTTTGGTAATGCTTTGCCAGTCTTGTTCTGGTCACATGATGGTCTCAGGTCTTGTTAGATGCTTGATCCACTATCATTTGATTTGTGTGTAAAATGTAAGCTAGGGTTCTTGTTTGATACTTCTGCATTTAGAGAAACAGTTTTCACAAGATCATTTGGTGAAAGAAAGTTAGCTGTTCCAGGAAGTGATTTTAGCTCATTTTACAAAAATTATTTGGTTGTAGATGTGTGGATTTATTGCTGTGGTTTTTGATCTGTTGCATTGGTCCAAGTGTCTGTTTCTGTCCCAGTACCAACGTTTTGATTATAAATGCCTTGCAATATGTCTTGGAATATAATATTGTTATGTTTCTAGCCTTACTTTTATTTAAAATTGCCTAGACTATTGGATCCTTGTGTTCCTGTTAGAGTTTTCTGCTTGCTTTTTATAATACTGAGAACAAGAACCCTTGATATTTTGATTGTATCTCTAAATTGCTTTGGTTATAATGGACATTTTGATAATTCCAATCCATGAGCATCAAAGGATGTTTAATTGTTTCTGTCTTCTGTTGCATTCTTTAATGACTCATAATTTTCCTTATTGAGATCTTTTATATTCTTAAATTTATTCCAAGATATTTAAATTTATTTGTATGGTTTTTTTTGTTTCCTGATTATATATCCTGCAACTTCACCAAACTGTCTTATGAGTTTAGTAGTCTTAATAGAGTCTTTTCATTCCCTCTGTGCATAAAATTTTATCTGAATACTGGAAAATTTTGATTTTTGTCTCTTTTGTATCCTTTGATTTTTTTTTTCTTGTCTGATTTGTCTGGCTAAAACCATATTGGATATTAATGGTAAAAGTCCATATCTTTGGTCTTGGACCTAAATTAAAATGCTTTATGCTTTTCCCCATTTAACAAGATACTGGCTGTGGGTTTGTCATATATTTCTTTCTTGTGTTGATATGTTTCTCTGTGCCCAATTTGCTTAATTTTTATATCAAAAAAGGATATTGTGTTTTTACCAAATATATTTTCTCTGAATGATAAGCATCACCTAGATTTTACTCTTCAATTTTTTTATCTGATATAGTCACATTTGTTTTTGCATGCATTGACCATCTTTGCCATCAAGGGACATCTCCTTTAGTCAAAGTGAATGATATTTCTGATTTGTTGTTGGATTTGATTAGCTTATGAGGAATATTGGCCCACGTTTCTCTTTTTTGTAGTTTTTGGTTGCTTTGGAATTAAGTTGCTTTGGTTGCTTTGGAATTAAGTTGCTTTTGGTTGTAGTTTTTGGTTGCTTTGGAATTAAGTTGATACTGGCATTATAGAAGGAGTTGGGGAGGATTTTTTACCTTTCAATTAATTTGAATAGTTTCAGAGTTGGAATTGCTTCTTGAAAAGCTTGGTAAGTAGTGAAGCTATCAGCTCCTGGTTTTTCTTCGTTGGAAGGTCATTAATATTGATTCAGTCTCCTACATCTTTACTGGTCTATGTAGGTTTTGTATCTTCATGAGGCAGTTTTGATAAATCAGTTGTGTCGAGAGTTCTGTGCATTTCTTCCAGATTTTCCAGTTTTGGGGTACATACATATTAATACTAACTTCTGATCATTCTGTTTCTGTGCTTTTTCATCTTTTTTTATCTTTTTTTTTTCATTTGTTAGTTTTACTTTTTTATTTGAAAACACCAACTTTTTCATGAATTTTAAGAATGATAATTTTTGTGATTGGCTTATGTCCCTGAGCATAATGGTCTCCGTTTGGGACCACTTTTTGCAAATGCTAGAATATAGCTTGTTTTGTTTTGCTCTTTTATTTTCCTGAACCATTTTCATTCACTCAGGATGACCACCTTCCCAGTCACCCCCTCCACACACACTATTGTATTCTATATTACTGCTTTGGTCCTATAACAATAGTCACTACTGCATCATTCTTTTTGTTTTACATTGACTAACATTTATTTCAAAAGAAGTTGCAACTTCCAGTAGTCATAGAATTTGAATAAATGACTTAGGATTTGTTCCTGGTTTGATCATTATAGCACTCACTAATTACCAGATTGTAGTTGAACAATATGTTTACACAATGCTATGCCCCAAATTCAAACTAAATATGTAATCCCCAGTGCAACAGTGTTCACAGCTGGAACTCAGTAAAACTTAATAGAGTCAGGTGCGCACAAACTTCAAGAGTATATTCGGATACTCAGTTTTGGCCTGGAGTAGTGATTCTTAGAGGAAATTGCAATAAATGTGAACCTGGTCATTCATACCATCTTCCAAAGCATGTGCTTTCTCTTTGCCACATTGTTGCACAGGACAAAGACCCTCGCCAGATACAGCACTGCTCTTGGACTAGGCACAGCCTCCAGCATCATGGCCCAAGTGGATCAGTTGTGTAGCGCAATTACCGAGTCTCTGCTATCCGGGTACACTAACACCTATAGACTAATATTGTTTCTGCTTGCTTCCCAAGTACAGACCTATTATGGTCAATATTTTTTTAAAATTAGTTTATTTTTATTGGAAAGGCAGATATACAGAGAGGAGAGACAGAGGAAGATCTTCTGTCCAATGATTCACTCCCCAGGCAGCTGCAACGGCTGGAGCTGAGCCAGTCCGAAGCCAGGAGCCTCTTCCGGGTCTCCCACGCAGGTGCAGGGTCCGAAGGCTTTAGGCTGTCCTCAACTGCTTTCCCAAGTCACAAACAGGGAGCTGGATGGGAAGCAGGACTGCCGGGATTAGAACTGGCGCTCATATAGGATCCCATTGCATTCAAGGTGAGGACTTTATTACTCTCCATACTGAATCTGTAGTGATTGCAGTAGCCTACTACAAATTCCCATGAACAGCAGAGTAGGGTACATCCATGCCAGCAGTTGTTCTTGCTAGAGTTCTGAATATAGGACAGTCTCCCTGGAGTAAGGTAGAATCTCAATGTATTTTTTTCATTTGTATTTTTCTTGATAGCTACGGGGCCTGAGCATTTTTTCAAATGCCTGTTAGCCATGTGTATTTGTTCTTTTTATAAATGTTCGTTTCCTTCACCTATTTCTTCACAGGGTTGTTTTCCTATCATTGTATTTCTGAAGCTCAGTATAAATCCTACATGATAGTCCCCTATCAGTTTTGTAATGTGCAGAGTTTCCCCCATTGTGTTGGCTTGCTTCTTCACTTTGTTGATTGTTTCCTTTGTTGTAATAAAGCTGTTTAGTTCAATGTAGTCCCAAATGTTTATTTTGTCTTTTGTTGCCTCTGCTTTTGGTGAGTTTAAATAAAAAAACTTTTCTCAAAGAACCTCCACTTTATCTGCTACTTTCCCATGTCCATGGGTTTCCAGTGTCATTCTTGCCTGTCCTCTCCTGCTTCACAGGATTGCACACTCTCTTCTTTTTCGTGGCTAATCCTTCTTTTATTTTAACTTGTCCTCAACCTATTCTGCCATATTGCTCTCTCCTCACTTTTTGTAACACTTTTTAAAATTCAACTTTTAAATTTTTATTTTTTTCTCTTACTTTTGGCTTTGCTTTTCCTGATTTTTCTAGTTCCATGAGATGCATTGTTAGATCATTTATTTGATGTTCTTACTGTTTCTTGATGAAGGCGTTAAATGCCATAAACATTGCTCTTAACAGTGCTTTTACTGTATCCCAAAATATTTGATATATTGTGTTATTCATCTTCATGAGGTGTTTGTTATTTGGCTGCTGATATTTGTCTGTGAGGCATGATTCACTCAGTAGAATGTTCTTTAATCTCTTTTTGTCCCATCTCCATGTAATTCCATCTCCATTTATTGATTACTCATAATTTTGTGCTACCATTTCCTATAAGTGTTGCTCCTCTTTGAATTTTCTTTGAAATTTTATTAGAAAATTTTCTGCATTCACATTTCTTTCATGATATTAGTAATATTTCTGTGTGTATCATTAAGTATCAAGTATAAGGCTGGCTGAATATTAGAGTCTTCCTATTTTTTTTTCTTTTAGAAGGTCTTTAATTTTCATGTGTGAGATCTTTGCTGCGAATTGACTGGCTAAGGTTTGTTAGGGAGCAGAGTTTGCTCTTTGAAGTTTTTCAGTATCAATCAGTAGCACTGAAAAACAATAAAATCATAGGAGACTGTTTCTGTAGAAGTCTGAAACGACTCTTGTATCTCAGAAATCAACAAGCTATAGAAATTTAAGTTGTCAAACAGAAGTGTGTATAACAAGAGCTGAGTGGAGAAAATTATGAAAGGAGATCTCAGAGGGAGCTAGCAAACACTTTTTAAATTATTTTGTATGCATATAAAGAGAACAAAGTTTAAATATTTCACAGGTATAGTTCCAAAACAAATATTTCCTCTCCTAGTTTGTTCTCATAACTTGTTCTTTTTCCTCCATTCAACAATTTTTAGCAGATATTTGTGAAAGAAAGTAAACACACTATTGGTGGACTATCATATGTTGTTGTCCTGTTAATTGCAGCTCATCTTCTTTAGAGTATAGACACATTTCCTTCTACTTCACTTGGATGTCAGTGACTCAATAAAACAATCCTTCTTTAATAATGAAATCAGCAGAAAAGGTTTTTTGGCAAGAAACACCAAGAGTACAAGGGCAGGGAACACAGATGGATAGTAGAAAGTACGGCATTTTACCCATCAGCGTTAATATATTTACTGAATATTTTCAGATTATTTCTCACCTTACTTGTTTTACTCTTCTTGATAGATGTAATGAAACAAAGGGACATATAGAGATAATCTCTTAAATGGTTCACTCCCCCAGAAGCCTAAAACAACCAAAGGGCTGGAATCTGTCATGGAGTCTCAAATGTGTCACGGACTCAAAAACACTAAAATGGTCATGTGCTGTTTTACAAGATATACTAGCAAAGGCTGCAGTGGAAACAGGTTATCCAGGACTGAAACTCTGAATTTTTCTTTGTTATGGGTATCTCATCTGCGGCTTAATGCGCTTTACCACCTAACCCATTTTGACGTAATTAGAAAATATTTAAAGAATAAGAATCATGATTGAATATTGGGAAATCTGTTAAAATTAACACTCCTAAAAAGGAGGAAAACTGCAATTCTTACTTATCTTACTAGTATGTTTAAAAATTTGTAAGAACTGAGATAGCTTATAACTTGTCTTTACATGAGCATCTCAAGAGAAGCTTTTACATGTTATTCAATTATGTATTTTTTTTTTCATTTCAGTTCCCCAGGAAAAGCATGGCTTAAGTGAAACCAACCAGGAAAGTGAAGACATTAATATGAGACAAGATTCAGTGACAAACAACATGCCAAATCTCAAAGTTGATTTAAGAAAAGGACTTAATTTCTGCCCAAGCCGTGTTCCAAAACTGGTTATCAAAAGGATAAGTTTTTCAAAAATGAAAAGGGGTGCATGGAATGTATTTCACAATGTGCATTTCTCTAGTGGGTCTAATACAACTCAACCTGGAGAGAAATCCAGTAGCTGTAATGTGCCTGAGAACTCTCCCCAATGCTCTGAGTCTCTTAGTCAGCATCAGGAGATTCAGACTGTGCGGCATGCTTCTGAGAAGAGTGGAAAAGGGAAAGCCCTCAAAAGAAAGAAGAAATGCATTGCATTTGAGAGGGTTCATATAGAAGAGACCTGTAAAAATAAGTCAGCTTCCACTGTCAGACATGCAGCCAAGATAGGAAAGGAAACTTTTCAGAGAAGCCCTAGTCATAGTAAACAGCAGATACACACAAGGAAGAAATTATTAGAATCTACTGACTGTGAGGACACTCTGATTAGCAAATCAAATATTACAGTGAGTCAGAAAGCACATATGCGCAATAAGCCTTACATGTGTAAACCTTGTGGGAAATCTCTCAATTGTAAATCCTGTCACACCTTTCATGAAATGACTCACAAAAGGGAGAAGATGCATAGGTGCAATGAATGTGGAAAAACTACCTATTGGAAGTTAGAGTTTATTAGAAATCAGACAATTCAGAAAGCTAAGAAGCCTAATGAATGTGATGAATGTGGAAAAGCCTTTTCTCATAAATCACTCCTGAAAACACATCAGAAAATTCACACACAGGAGAAGCCACACAAATGTAATGTTTGTGGAAAAGCCTTTTTCCAGAAATCACTGCTTTTAACCCATAAGAGAATTCACACTGCTAAGAAAACTTATGAATGTAAAGAGTGTAGAAAAGCCTTTTGGTTGAAGTCAGACCTCATCAAACATCGGAGAATTCACACAGGGAAAGCTTATAAATGTAATGAGTGTGGAAAAGTCTTTTGCTGTAAGTCATACCTTACTAAACATCAAAGAATTCATACAGGGGAAAAACCTTATGAATGTAAAGAGTGTGGAAGAGCCTTTTGCTGGAAGTCTCACCTCACAACACATCAGAGAATGCACACAGGGGAGAAGCCATATGAGTGTAATGAGTGTGGGAAAGCTTTTTACTGGAAGTCAGATCTCATTAGACATCATAGGATTCACACAGGAGAAAAACCTTATGAGTGCAAAGAGTGTGGGAAAGCCTTTTGCCAGAAATCAATCCTCATTACTCATCAGAAAATTCACACAGGGGAGAAACTTCATGAATGTACACAATGTGGAAAAGCATTTTGCCAGAAGTCACACCTCCTAAGACATCAGACTGTTCACACAGGCATAAAGCCTTATGAATGTAAAGAGTGTGAGAAAGCTTTTTGGCAGAAGTCTTCCCTCATTAAGCATCAGAGAATTCATATGGTGGAAGAGGTGTCAGAGTAATGAATATGGAAAATCTTTTGTTAGAAGTAATACCTTATAATTGTGTGAATGCATTTCCTGGGAGGTATAAGTTTGTTATGAATCAGAAAATTCATGATTAATGGTTAATTTAGTGACTTTAGAAAACCTTTTGAAGAAATCCCATATGGACAAGGACTATAAAAAAAATAAGATTCATAGAAATCAAGTAATCTCCAGTTGCAGCAGTCCATGAATACGGTTATACAAGCTTTCTAGTGGTAGCTTTTTTCTAAACCAAGTGGATCTCTCTTTGCCTTTCTGATAATCACACCTGTAATCAATTAAGATTGAAGTAACTGGTCGGAAGTTAGAGTTACAATCCTTTGTAGCGTTGATGAAAATAAAAGCAGTTAACTGACCTAATTGCCTTTGAACTGTTGTAATGTGTTATATAATGCTTCCCCTCACATTTCCTTTCAGAAGTATGAGGTATAGCTTTTGATAGACAAATGTGGCAGTGATGTCTCTAGCTGCATAATGCTGTAATAGGATTTCGTTGAAGGACAGCATCACAGCATTCTCCTCTGGCCCAATCTAAGTGCCTCTAGTCAAATGCAGATATGCTGGCTCTTTTATCTGAAGTGTGACCTGCAGTTGGATGGCTTCTGGTTTCTTAATCTGAAATACATGTGAATGTATCATGTTGGCATATGTGCTCTTAACAAGTGTATAAAAGATAATGCTGACACTGAAGTATCCAATATCATTTTTAAAGTACGTTCCCATTTTTGAAAAATTTCCTATCAGCATATGTATTCTTGTAGTTTATCAGTTTCTCTTTGAACTGGCATTGTGTTTGATTAAATTAAAAATACCCTCCCGGGAGAATCAAGATGGCAGAATAGGGTAAGGACACGTTAAAATGGATGGAGAAGCATTTAACCAGATTGAAGCAGAGAGGACATATTTCAAGAAATATGGAAGGACATGACAAGAGCAGAGGGGTACCTGGAGACTGACAGACACAGGAAAGCAGCGGGCACAGCAGTGTGGTGTTGCAGTGAATGATATTCCAGTATGGTGATCTAAACTCCACCAGCAGCCAGAACTCCACCAGAAACCAGGTGGGAAGGGACTTTCACAGGGAGCTTGGGAGGGAAACCCAGACGGGAAACTGTCTGTCCTGCTGGTCCGTTTGATTTGACCAGGAGAATAGACAAAACAACAGATTCCAGGCGGGCAGTGCGAGAACAGTGAGGATTTCATAGCCCAGTCAGCCCCCTAGAGCTGAATTGATCGCCATTTTGCCTAGGGAGGAAAGGGCAAGGGAAAGGACTGAACATGCTCTGAGAGGGAGTGAGCTCATTTCTGACTCTGTGAACTGCAGCGACGTGGCATTCTACGGGTTCCACCCAGGGCAGGTCTGGGTTTGTTGTTGTTGTTGTTTTGGTTTTGTTGTATGAGAGGAGAAGGCCTAAGATAGAGAGCAAGGCAGCTTGCTGTGGTACCCAGAAGGAATCGTCTAAGTTTTCTTCTAGTTTAAAAAGTATATAAGGTTTCTAGATGCTCATTTGATTTTTCTTTGGAGTCTTTGATGTGGATCCTGGGCTTCCTTCAGTGTAGGGGGTTTATTATAGACACTTGACAAGGGTTCTCAGCCTTTGAGGCAGCCCTCCAGTGCTCTCTACAAATGAGAATAATCCTGGGGTTTATTTTGACATCTGGTGAGCCGACAATTCATTGTCTGTAGTGACAGCACTTGTAATGTGATGTTTCAGTTGTCACTAGGAGCATACTTCCCCTGTCCTTTTGCTCCCACTGTTGGGGTCTCATCTCTGTTACTTAAGACTCATGGCTACTTTTAAGAGATTCTCCAGAACATCTTCAGGTCCCACCATGGATTTTTGAAATGTGCTCCTGATATGTTGAGACTAATTCAGAAATCTTCAAAATCAGTTCACTTTTTGGAGAATCTAGATCTGATGAGATCTATTTCTCAAGGGTTCAATAGAGGTAGATAATTTTTTCTATAATCCTTGATCAATCTTGAATACTTTGAAATATTTGAGGGATTTTGTTCTAATTTCCTATAGGACCTCAAACACATTTAAAAAAAAATATCCATCCTCTATAAATTGCATGTTGTTATGTCCTTGTTGGCATTGTTCTATGGAACTGCTGGTTGGTTGAGCAGTGGTAATGGTGATGTCCTTCATAGATTGCAATTTCAGGGTCTTGTCTGTGGGATACCCTACATTGTGGGATATCCCACAATGGGTCTTGTCTGAGGGATACCCCAAGTTTCTTTACCACTTCCACATCTTCAAGCTTTTGTGATATTTTTAGAACAGCGTTACTCCATGTTCATGTTTTTGAAAGGCTTCTCTGTGATATTTTATGGGCAATCTGATGCTAACCATATACATCTAATGTGCCTATGGTCTTACAGAGGAAAAAAAAAAGGTGCTTGGACCTTTTGCTGAAAAGGTGATAAACTGATATGATACTCTAAGGAAGATAACTATTTGAGGTACAGAGGGCAAATAGAAATACATTGATTATAGTGGAGCCATTGTGGTTCTGAAGGGCATTAGGGACACCACAGTAGTTGAGTCAGTTCAACAAGCTTTATAAAATTTTGCCTTTTGAAATAAATACCTGAACATAAAGGACTTCAATACATTTCTTTGTCCCAATAATAAGGGAAAATTTTGCGAATCTAGAGAAGGAATTGGGAAACAACATCCAGGAGGGACACAGAGCTCAGGTCAGAACAGACAGAAAACAATCTTCACCATGACACAATAATCAAGTTCTGTTAAATCAAACATAATGGAAAGAATATTAAATGTGCTTCTGAAAAAAAAAATCAGTTGACATATAGAGAAATGGCATTCAGACTCATAGCTCAGCTCTCACAGGAAACTACATGCCAAAAGAGAATATCCCACATTCTAAAAGCAAAACACTGTCGTCCCAGAATAGCGTACTCAATAAAGCTTTCCTTTGTCTTTGAAAATGAAATAAAATCTTCCACAGTAAAGAAAACTTAGAATAATACACCTCTTTCAGACCTGCCTTAACATGTTCTCTTGACAAAGAAAAGGAATAGCACCCATCAAAACCAAAGGCAAATGTGAAGAACATCCCAGTAAAATAACAACAGAATACTAAGTCAAACAATGAACACACATTGCTAAAATGACAGGCCCAAATTACTACCTACTTATATTTTCCTGAATGTAAATGGATTAAACCCATCAATCAAGCATCATAGATTATACACTGGGTTTATTTTTATTTTACATTCTATTATTATTATTATCACTGTATGATACAGTTCCATAGGCTTCTGGGTGCCACACGGACCTATTTTGACCCATACGATGCCATAGTCGGTATTATTTTCCTGCGGGACCAGTGCAATCCACAGAGCTCAGTGAGTTCTTGCGAGCTCAGCACATGCGTAGTTCACTGGTGTCCCCTGCAGTCCTAAAGCTATTGCCACAGTGTACCACTCCTGGAGTTCTTGATCTGCTGGCTGTAAGAACTGAGGGCTACCCAGACCTGTCTTGGGTGGAACCTGTAGAATGCCATGTCGCCAGAGTTCACCGTGTCAAAAATGAGTTCACTCCCAGCTCAGTGTATGCTCAGTCCTTTGCCTTGCTTTGCCTCCATAGGCAAAATGGCACCTAAGTGGCTCTAGGGCGTTGACTACGCTGTGACATCCACCCTGTTCTTGCACTGCCCATCTGGGATCTGCTGCTCTGTCTCTGCTCCTGGTCAAACGAACCAGCAGGATGGACAGTTCTTTGTCTGAGTTCACCTCCCAAGCTCCCAGTTAAAATCCCTTCCCATCTGGTTGCTGGTGGAATTCCAGATGCTGGTGGAGTTCAGATCGCCATTAGCTGAATGCTGCTGGAATATCAGTCACTGCGACACCACACTGTTATGTCCGCTGCTGTCCTGTGTCTGTCAGTCTCCTTCTGCTGTTGTTCTGTCCTTTCCTATTTCCTGGGATATGTCATCTCTGTTTCATCCTGATTAAATGTTTTTCTTTCCATTTAAACGTGTCCTTACTCTATTCCGCCATCTTGATTCTCCAGCTATCACTGGGTTTAAAAAAACAAAACCCATCTATATATTGTCTACAGGAAACACATCTCCCAAAAAAGATCAGCGTAAACTATATCATGAATTTTGATGTTTTTATTTTCATTTCCTCAAAAAAATTTTTCATTAAATTCTTCAGTGTTTCAGATCATACAATAGCACCATTTTCTTCAAGAAGGTTCTTGATTTTCGTTTCTTCAGTGACAGTTATTCAGTAGCATGTTAGCATGTTATTTAACTTCATGGCATTGTAAATTTTTATTTTTCCTCCTGTTGCTGATTTTGTTTTGTGGCTTTTCATTTAAATGGATTGTAGTAACTGCGTAATGGAGACTATCATATCAGATGTGAAGATACGATGCAGTATGCTTCTCTACTTCCAGATCATAGATAGACTCCCAATGATTCTGTTATATATATCTTGACAATAGGATCCTGGACTCTCTGCCATTGCCCATTCCAGCAATGATTAATTTATTTCTGTCTAAAGATAACTGTTCTGTTGTGATAATGTACGGGAAATCAGTGTGTGTGTGGTGGGGGGGAGCAGGAGTTTGTGGAGGGAGTAAGGAAATCCTAGAGGCTATGGAACTGCATCATAAAGAAATAATGAGAAATGGAAAAATGATATTGTAGTTGATACTTCCTCCTGGAAGCCAGCTTTCTGTATCTTTCTAGATTGCAACCAGGATAGGTAGTGTTGCATTAAAAAGACAAAATATTTTAAGCTCTGCTGGTCACTGGGACTTCAATAGCTGAGGATATATGTCATGGAAATACCTGCTATATACGGTTTCCTCCCATCTGGAGTGAGAGGAAAAAGCAGAAACATCATTCAGCATT